TTTTATTTTAAAGTTTTTTAAATTTAAAATTAGAGCAAATTTACTACAATCTTACTCTGGATTTGATTTTATTAATCTAATTAATACTAATGAAATAGGTAAAAATCATTTGATGTTTAAATTTTTGATATTATATTAAAGAATAATTTCAATCTAAAAACTTAGAAAGTTAAATAAAGTATAAACTAATTTTATATTAATCTTTAGTAATAAAAACAGTATGAGGAATTTGTATAACTTGTAACGAAAATTGCTTAAAATTAAGATTGCAATATTGTAGAAATTAAATCCGTATGCGAGCATAAAGGGTCCTTTTCTAGTCATTGAAGATGACCAATAAACCAGCCTAGCCTGGATAAAGATCGTCAGGGAGGGGGTGCCATCGCTGCTGCAGGGAGTGGTCATTTTCCAGTAGAGAGCCAAATTAATGCCACACACGTGCATGGGTTGATAGGGGTCTTTAATTTATACGACATATTCATGTTTTCATTCGGAATTTTCCAAAGAACACATCAATTCCATTTACTGTGCGGAGGACAGAAACTTTTGGTGGAGAGAACAACATCAACATGTGGGAAAACCATCTTTTCTTGCTATGACTTCTCTTTCTTCCTGTGTTTACCATACCATAGGCACCATTTTGGTAACATATGGACTGCAAAACTATGCTGTATGGTGCCCTGTCTCGAGCCTATCCCTTCTCTGAAGAAAAAACGTGTTGGGTTGTTTATCAAACCCTAATGAATATTTTCTACGGATCTCAACAGCTGGTAATGATGCCACCCAATTCTTCGTGTGTTCTGATTCATCGTTTCAACATCTTGTGGATATTTCAATCATGGCCTTGGCCAATAGTTTCCAGGGATCATGCTTCGTCTTTCAATGGTTATGGTTAGTATGATGCCACGTTGGTGTGCCTTTCCAGCGTCTGTGAAGCTGCCGCCCAAGCAACTGAGTCCCAGCAATATTCATGAATTCTTTCTTCTGTTTTTTCGAACAGTATCTCAGATTCTCAATAATAATTAAATGTAGTTAATAATGGACTGCTCGATTGTTTATTTGAAAATAAAATGCTTTAAAGATCTTTCCAATAAATTGGAATGAACTGAGAGGGAGGATTTACAGCAAATGACATACGTAAAACATAATAGACATTCTTTACATGCAAGTTTATGTTAATAAATATGCACAGACTTCTTTTTCTTCATTTCAAGAAAATCCAAACTGTTGAAATAAAAAAGCTACTCTACCACCAACAGTGCCCTTTCATTTTCAGCTTCGGGCGGACGGGAGAGTGGTTGATGCAAAATAATTGCACAATAATACCTAATTTAAATCATGCAGGCCAGGCCGTGGTCGTCCTACAGTGAATGCTATCCTATGCATACACGTTTGCACTTCCACAACTCTTAAAAAAACCCCATGGGCTTCACTGAACAGCATTGTTGAATTATTTATTAAAACAAAGAAGCATGTGGGTACGTGTAGCTTATAGGAAAGCAATTTTCAATTTGATTTTGTATTTAAAACTATATTTGAATATATTTTAAAAGTTTATTTTATTTGTAAAATATTAAATTGATATTTTTTTAATATTGTTGGATTATTTTGATATGCTAGCATTAAAAATATATACAAATAAAAATTTAATATATTTTTAAATAAAAAATACTTTTTAAAAACTCTTTACGTTAGAATACCAAACACACATTTCATGTCAACAACTGGTCCCAGAGGGAAAATATCGGAAAACTGCTGCTCATGGCTACTGAATTCCTAGCTAATAGTGATCCTCACAACTCTGAATTTATGTGTGGATAGGAATACAAGAAATAAGAAGTATAAAATAATTTTAAATCAATTAAGGCTAGTAATAACATTATTTCTAATAAAATAAATGTAACTAAGAAAATTTTTTTTTATTAATAATGTAACTAAGAAATTAATATTTTTTTTTATTACTTTCATGATTTTAGAAAGAAACAATAAAATCTTGATGATAACATAAGACATTGACGTTGAAAGATCCTTATTTAAAAAGTTAATAAGTTTATTTAATAATCTGATATGAATTTTCAATTTTATTTTATTATTTTTTAGAACTCAATAGAACCAAACTTCCATGTTATACCACAGTACCGTGTACCTAGCAATTATAAACCAGCAAGAGACGTACTGTAAATTTCAGTCTGCAGTTCAGCGCTCGAGATGGAGCCATGATGCTTACAGATAAATCCACAAGGAAAAGGCCATGAAAGAAAATAGCAATTGAACGAACATTCAGGAGGATAATCCACTGTAGTTGACCTCATGGAGAGGGAATTAAGGTAATTCGGCTTTCTGAAACTGACAAGACACAGATTTAACTCTTGATGTGCATCACCTTGCACTTATAATCATGTAATGATAATTCACTATGCAATCCTGTCAACAAAAAGTAACAATGTCTTAGTTCAATCGCGATACAGACAGCACAAATTAGGAAAAACAAAAACAGTGTTTAGATTTCTATCATTGTTATCCTATAAAGAAATGTTGCCTCTGCACCATCTCCAATACCTAACCCTTGGTTCATTTTGCATCAAGTCTACAGCCAGTGGTACACAATTATGTAGGCCTGTAAACGCCAGGTATAATCAGCTCAAATGGCATTTCAACTTTCCAAGACACATGTAGCTGGCCCCAGTATAATGAACACTTTGTGCCGTCTAATCTACTTAACTGTCACTGGTAGTTTAAGTTCTTAGAATTGTTCTAGTGATTTCCAATACAAACTTCCTTTCTCCATCAACAGAATGACATATTAACTGTTTGTCATGTTTAGTTGAGCAAATTGGACCTGAGATTTTGAAGGTCGGGACACTTGCAACTATGAAAACATCCACGGAAAACTCGAGCTCAACAAACTAAGAGTGTTATATGATAGAATTAAGTGCTCATTTCCGACAAGATGATCATGAAAACAAACCGAATCTTAAAACATAGTTCACGCTCTGCACACTCAACCCATGCATGGAAATCATACTGGTTGGATAAATTTTGATTTTTTTTTGGTTTAAAATTAATTTTTTTTATGTTTTAGGATTATTTTAATATTCTAATATTAAAAATAATTTTTAGAAAATAAAAAAATATTATTTTAATGTATTATGCTGTTAAATGCGTTGTATATTTTTTTTTGTTAATAGTCGAAATTTTATTAAAAAAAAAGCTATAAAGATAATAGCCTAACTTACATAAGATGAACAAGTAAAGAAAGAAAGTACAAAAACGGTTGCATGAAACAGGGGAGAGCAACAAATGAGGGAACAAACAAATCATAAGAAACCAACTTCTCTCGGCTAAACATTCTCTATATTAAGCTCTAAAGAGTTGGAATCAAGCCTCAACCATAAAGTAATACTTTGACTCACCATGGAGAAACAAATTTGAAAGTTAGGGGCAACATCATTAAAAATAACATCATTTCGGTGAAGCCAAAGATTCCAAACAACGCATAAGAAAAGAAGCTGCCATGAGAGATTCTGCTGCTTGCCTTTAACCATTGAAGACCATTGGTAGCACATATCATCAATAGATTTTGGAAAAACACTGCAAAAGCCCCGATTAGAAAGCAGTTTCATCATATATTCCAAGTGAAGTGGCAATGAATGAAGAGGTGACTCGAAGATTCCAAGCTTTTATTGCAGAAAGCGCATCTTGACTCCTGAAGAGTGAGGTAGTCATGCTGAAATAGAAAATCTCTTGTGGTTACTTTGTCTTGGACAAGGAGCCAAAGGAAAAGTTGCACTTTTGGTGG